TTGATGGCTAATGTAAATGTGCAATCCTGCATCTAATTTGAACATAAAAATATCTGAAAATGTGTATCACAAATTCTCATGTAAATCTTCAACCTCTGGCTGCCAGCAGTTTACGGATGTCGGCGCACAGATCAGGCTTTCTAAGTGCAAGTAAAAGAAGTCATCACAAGGATGACGGGGACTCCAGTCACGCCGAGCCCACGCCCATCCAGCTGGGCTCTTATCAGTCACCCAGGGGCCCAGCTGCTCCCTCAGATTAGACCCAGGAAAACCCAGACTTTATTGACGATGGCCCGTCCGAGGGCTTGGCAACATACCATAATCTGAATTTCTATTATGAGTTTAGCATTTCACATAAGCTTGGTGGTTTTGCTTCACAAAGAGGATGTTGCAACCTGTGCCACCTCCCACTCACCCACATGTTTCTCTTTCACTTGACTGCGGCGGTTAGTCATATTTGAGGTGATGTCTTTGCAAGTTTTTCGTCTGTGCCACCTCCTGTCATTGCGAAACACAAAACTAGAAGAGTGATTTTCTGATTAAGTTCCATAAAGGAGTCCTAGTTTCCCACAACATCTGTTCCACTAAATGAGCCCATTTGTCAAATATAATGTGCATAAATTAAGTTTTTTAAATGGTTATAAGGAGTGGACCCTTTCTAATTTCAGCACAGGGACGTTTACACCTTTTCTGGCACTATATGAAGGACAATCAGACCCAATAACACCACCTGATTAACGATAATGCTGCGACAAGACATTGCTGTGCTGTGTTTTGGCTATCGAACCCACAGTTTCCTCCTTTCACAGCCTTGTATCACAAATGTTTTCACAAACCAATTTTCTCGTCACAATGCCGCACTGCTCACAGTTTGCTTCTCATTCCAAAAAAACTCGAAAAACCAAAAGAAACTATGCTGGTTGAATTGTTTTGGAGATTAAGCCACATTGTTTTGAAGGAAGCGTCTGAATAAACTCAACTTTTTATTCTCAACACTTGTGCATGCGGCTAACTACACAAACAGTCCCTCGCCCACAGCTGAAGCCCAGGTTTAGCACGCCGCCTTGTACACTTAAGACCAACAGGGACAAGATTCACTGTGGTTTTCATCCCACAATGGGAATTTGACAGAGCGTAAACTTACAGCCTGCGCGTGTGTCTATGGAAACATTTCAAAAGCAGCAGCAGCAGCAGCAGGCCAATGTGCTCAGCGGCACGTGGCTCATTAATTAGTGAGAGGAACCATACGACTCGTCCGCCTCACGCTTCAGCTGCGGCCACACACCTTCACGCATATGCAGACGCTTTCCAAACAAGCGCAAGCATGCACCAACAGACAGACAGACAAAGCAAACATCCTATGACACACTGGATGTGCAGGAAGTAACACGTTCTCCTGTCCCGACTTGAAGCATGAGAGAGAGGTTCAAGTGGTTGCAGGGAGGGTGAGAAGCCTTCAAGGAGACACAAATGTCACAGTATTGTGGTGCGAAGCTGTTTGTGGGCGTGAGCACAGTGTGGTGCAACATTTCAAGCACCAAAAGGGCATTAAAAATGACACATGCAATTAAATCAAACTGCGATTCGGATGTCCAAACAGCAACAATTGCTTCTCAGAAATGATTTCCTACGTGTTTACTTGAAGCTGAGCTCCGGCAGATTCTAGCAAAGTTAGGGAGTTGTTTTACTGTTTCATTGCAGTCGGAACTTAAGATCAGTGTTGAATAAAATGTGTGTTGAATAGTTTTTAGGACTAAGGTTGAAGCCATATTTCTGGAATTAGTTCCTCGCTTTTGGTAGATGTCAGCACGCAGTGATAAACTGCGAACATATTGGGAAATGAGAGCTGCAACACTCAATTAATCACCAACTATTTCTGAAATCAAATGATCAGTTTGAGTTGGGGTTTTTTTGTTTTATTTTAAGAAAAAATTAGTTACATTCTCTTATTTCAGCTTTTTAAATGTCAGTATTTTCTGATTTCCTTACTCCTCTACGACAGTAAACTGAATATGTTTGGTTGAGGGCAAAACAAGACGTTTGAGGAAGTCATCTTGGATTTTCAGGAACACTGATCAACATTTTTTTCAAACAAGTAATTGACTGCACGAGGAGATAACAGATAGATTACATCAACAAGGAAAATATTTTTTAGTCACAGGCCTTTTAAAGACACTGACGGAAAGTCATTCAGTTGACTGTATGTCCTTGACTGCTGGTGGACAGTGATACTTTAACCTCGTGAAACAGAAAACTTGAGGTGTAAACAACAGCTTGTTTGTGTGTCTGTTTCCTTCTGCGTAGTCACAAACTATTCAGATACATTCGCTAAATTAATTTTCGGCATTGACTTTTTATTGAAGATGCTCATTTTAAAATGATTGTCATTTGCATTCAAATTTCATTTTCACTTGTATTCTTACACTCAAACTATGAAACAAATTGGTTAATTATGCCATGCCTCACAAACAAAAACACCAACTCGTTAAAGTTCTTTATGAGTTTATTATATCCTGCTGTAGTAGTTGTTGAACTTTTTGGACTTTAACCATAGAGCAAAGTTCCATACATAGGAATAACGTTCAGGAGTCTGAAGAGATCAAACTTTTGCTGCATTTTACAGAAAAACAGCAACAATCAGCAAACTATTAGAGAAAAAGAGGCTTGGGTTTGTAGGCAGTTTGCGTTCCTGCCGTGTTAATCAATTAATAACCCTTTAAATGCATTGTGGCGGCTTCATCTGCAGCAGACTGTCAATAACGGAAAAGCACAGTTTCACCAAAGACCCCAGAAATACAGCAGAACACATTAGTTAACAGGGGAAGTATATTGCGTTTTATGAGGAGCCTACTTTCACAGTGTTCCAGAGATATAAACACGCACACTCAGCTCGAGTTGTCCTCAACACTCCCCCTTAAGCGAGCGAGCTGTTATTCTCCCAATGGTGACATTAACCTTTAGAGACTCAGTTTGAAAGGAGCACTCTGTCCTCTCCACCAACACAGTTAAAGAGGTCTGTGCTTACTCTCAAAGACGCCTCAAAAGCAGAGGTCTTTGCCACATGCAAGGCAAGAATTAAAAGTGTGCTTTTTTTTAATGCATCTATATTACCCTCCTGTTGCCTGTTACACATCTACAGCCAGCCTTTTTTTTATGTGACTCCTGCCCTCCAAACACTCTGATAAGCAGCTGATTTCACTTGTGACAGAGACACCTCCTCCTTACGCCTGCTCTATCAAAGACTTTAACAACGGAAAACATGTGCGATTCACCACTTGAGGCCTCTCCCTCCCACAGATGAGCTGATTATTCTGAGATTTGGGAGCTGTGAGAGGAAGTCGCCCTCCGATGCAGTCCCACGGTTTCCTCTCTTGGCCATCATCTGCTCCCACTCTGCCTGCCTCCCTCCCTCCCCTCCATCTGACAGCTGCAGGTGTGGAGCTGTCCTCCTCCGAGCCACTCAAGGAGAGTAAACAGAAGCAACAGCACAGGCTTCATATTTGGATGGGAAAAGGCCAACATAGTGGCGACAAATTGCATTTTAGAAAGCTTTGCAAGCTAACCAAGTGGCACTCAATCACGTTAAATGCATCACACATTTGTGCCGTTAGTTTGAAAACTTTGGAGCGGAATTTGGCTTCAAGAAGAAGACTTTTCGAGATTTTCACACTAACTTTTAAAGGCCTCTTCATACTTAAAGCGCCCTATGTTCAGTCAGTTGTTCAGCTTCCTAGGGGGAAACTAAAAGCACAATTTGTTTGCTTTATCTATGTTTTAGTTTTTTTTTCTGTATTATCTGAAGACTATCCACAGAATATCTCACATGTTCGCTCTGCTCAAAAGCTATATTGTGAGACAATTTATGTAATTCAGACCTGCGGCTACATAGCCGAGGTTTAACCTAACAAACTTCCCCCCTCCTCATCCACTGAAACATGAAATATGAAGGTAAGGTGTTATGTAAGGGAAAGGTTGGAATAGCGAACTTTGGAAATCCACCCTCCAACCACCTTCCCAACTGTGTGTACACTTTCCAGGAAAAACAAAATATCTAAATAAGGGTGGACTCCCCTTAAAAACACTGCATTTTCTGTTCGCTGCAGGATTCTGCTAAAGCATCACTTCTTCCACTGAGGCCCCCGATGCGTCAAAGGCGTTCACTGTGCTCCACTGGGCTGTGCAGACACAGAGGGCCTGTGCCCTGCTTTGCAGAAGGGACTGACCAGCTAACAGATCCAGATTAAATACCTCCTCTGAGCCAAAAGTGCTGCTGCTGGTGCTGAGGTTTGGGAGGAAGGGACAGAATTAATGAAAAGTGCCTTTACTGTCCTAGTGGATTCACAGCAAGGACTGAGTGTGTCCAGGCGGGGATTAAACCCTCTGTGCTGCAGATGCTTGAAAACAATCACAAGATGTGAGTGGCCTTCAGCAACGCTATGAAACAAATGGATAATGCATCAACAAGGCACTTGGAAAGTGAATAAAACTGAAGATAGAAGCAAACAATTGTGAACATAAATACAGTGAATAGATATTTTCTGAACTCTTTCAGTCTTTCAGGCACTGGTTTTCCTTGACAGCCAAAGTTGCCAGCATAGTGACTTAGTTTGACAGTGGAGCTCTGGACCAGCAACATAGTTCAGATATTTGTCATGGTGAAGCATCCACTGCCTGAATGGAAGCAGACAGTCCACACCCCAAGCACGTAGAGAAAGAAATCAAGTATGTGCCTCAAAATAAACACAGATGAATGAAATATTTCCTCATAGAGACAGAGAAGTTACTGATCTTTATCGAAGACCATGAGAGTGAACGAATTCTAAGGGAAGAGATCAACAGCTTAATATTTATGTTCATAACTGAATGTTGCAGGACTGACAGCCAACAGGTGAGCAACTGATCAGTGAAGTTTAAGAGGTTTAAATACAAGCAAAGGTTCATTAGTACACAATAGTGTAATTCAGTGTGCAGGTGCCTCGTGTCTCTAAAGTCTCACTCACCTTGTAGACCTTCCCAAACGCGCCATCGCCCAACTCGCCAATAATTTCCCATAAGTCGTTTGGATTGATGTCCCGATGGACGTGCTCGTACTGTTTGACTTTCTTCTTTATCTCAATAGTGGGCAGACGGAGGATTTTACTGAATTTTGCAAATGCCATTATTTACAACTTCTACTTCTTAAAAATAAAAAAAAACTCTAAAACTATCACCAGGCTCCGACGGATCTCAGAGCATTACGCACGCAAAGACGCGCAGCTCGGCAAAAAACCAAACAAGAAAACTCTATCTACCAATTTACAGTCTTCACTTTCAGCGTCCTTTGAAAAAAAGAGAGACAATTGAGCTGTTTCACAAGAAGTTATTCTACTCCGTCCATGTCAGCCCGCTCCTCTCAGGTGAAAACATGTCATAATCCAGTTCACAAGCTTGCGGTTGGATGAGCGCCGAGGACGCGTGGTGACCACCTGCCGCTGCGGAGGGACGATGGAGGAGCCGTCCGCCTGTCCGGGTAACTTGTTGATTCAAACTGAGCGAGAAAGCCCCACCTTGTTGCTCAACAACGCGCTCGCTGCCGTCATGGAAATGTAGTTCCTTTGACAGGACAGAGTCGGCGTCATTGCAGCGCTGACGAGCTGAAAGAACTTCACGTCCGGGTTTGGCGCTGGGCGGGTCCTCTGACAGCGGCGGCGTCTCCACATCTCCAACAGCTGTGCCATTAAGAAACTAGTTCACCTACATAGGAGCCACTTAAAAATCAATTACGACACTAGTTTACTGTTCTTCCACGCCCTCCTGTCTCACTGTAATGTTTCATATTAATGGTTAAAGTTTGCTTTTGATGAAGAACAAAATAAGTGAGACTTTGGGTGATGGTTCATTGCAGTTCCGTTTTGAGGAAGTAGCTTCACAATCTTACACTGCAATCTTCTTTTTGTGGTTTCTCTTCTCTTTTCCTTTCAGCTACGTGTTGGCATAGCTCTCCGCCTGTACAGGCGGTGGTGCAGCGCCCTCTAGCGGCGCGTTCAGCTCAGTGTTTGTGTACCTGTTGTGGAAAACATGAAGTCAGAGGAGAAACTGCAGACACTGATGAATGAATGAGAGCAAATGTATTCATATCTGACTTAGAGAAGAGGTAAATTATATACATTTTGGTTGTGTTGGTTAGAAAATGGTTACATTTAGCAAATGTTTATGAGCTGTTCATCTGGTTATGAAACCTTGACAATAGAGCTAATCCGAACCCTCTTCAGGTGTGGTTTAAAGGACAATAATCAGTACACAGGCACTCCTTTGATTACAAAAGTCACCCTAAAAAGCAGCTTTACTCACATGACTCGATGTGACGATGACACAGGTAGGATGGCATGCTGGGTACTCTCACGTCAGAAAACTTCAGAAACTTGAATATCCACCACGCCGCTATTCGTCATCTTAAAAATCCTTTCAGATGCTCAGGACGAACTCTAAAATGTCCACCAACTACACCGAGCCCTTCGGAACAACATTTTACAAGCAGCATCAACAACCTCATGAACTCGCTGCATCACATGTGTGTGACTTGTTACCGACTTGTGAGTTCTGCTCTGTGACGCTATTATCAATCTGCCCACTATCACTTCCATTACAGTGCGTACTGACTGTTTCATGATGTCCATTGTGTTTTAGAGACACTGTGTGTTGCAAAAATGAATACTTTGTCCTTTATGTTAAAAACAATGGCTCAAATGTAATGAATTACATGCTACATTTATATTTTTGTTCAGTATGTTGGTAGAGGTAGTGAGATTTGCCTTTAATCCATCAAAGGTATTGATGGTTGCATAGTTGTATTAAATGTTTTAAGTTAATATCTGCTTCTCAAATGGAAGGATTTGCTTTTTTTTATGTTTTACATCTTTGTGAATATCTTTGGGAATTAGACTGCTACCAGCTTATGCTCTGGAGCAGCAGCGACTGGCACTTTATGGTAATTTATAGAATAAATCACACATAAATAAAACAGTAGATAATGCAGTAGTCATCACATTAATAAATAATGAAACAGTCATCACTTGAAGCCCAATATATTATCACAACAGCTAATTGGCAAAGTTACAATATCACATGCCATTTTTCCTTTTTAAATAAATGATGAACTAACAGAGCAAATTTAATTTAAAATATGACTCTGAGGTTTAAAATTTCATTCTAGGTATCAGAAGTTGTACTCTGTGCTGCTGTGACCTTTTAGCAGAATCATTTTATCTGACATTTCTGTAGACTTTTGTCCTTTGTCTGACCATCTGAGGAATTTTCCAAAATGCCACCAGCAACTTGTACAATATCCTGAGAACTCAGAACAGGCATCTAATGTATGAAATTATCAGTCTGTAGGAACTGTTCCTTCTGCTGTATTCGTGTGATCACAGCAGCAGTGGAAGAATACAAAGATCCTTTGGTTTAGTAGAAGTAGTAGCACTACTTGTAAACATACTCCATACAAGAAAAAGTCTTGCATGAAAAAAACAGACTTGTCAAAAGTACATCAGTGTTAGCAACACGTTTGTAAGTAAGTAAAGTAAGTAAAAGTAGTGGATTGGTCCTTCTGACTATTATATATAATAATAAAGCATCATTAATGTGTCAGCAGCATGTTCCTGCTGTAGCTGCTGCAGGTGGAGCTCGTTTGAACTACTCTGTACACAGTTTTATACACAATTACAGCAGATAAACCTAAATTCAGGTTTTTGACTTTTTTCTCTAACTTTTGATTTTTGGTGAGATATTGGATTATGTGAAATGTTATTGAACTAAAACCACTTGAGAAGTTTAGGGGGGGAATCACTACTTAGTGGAGCTGTCAAAAACTCTCAGACATCTGAAATCTGACTGCAAAGGACACACTTTTTGTAAGACATAAGAAGCCAAAAAGGCTGGAACTCACTGGTTTAATCCTTAAAATCTACTTCTTTCAAAATCTTGTCACTTTATGTCAAATATAGTCATTAAACCTGTCAAATAAAAGTGTAGTAAAGTTGAAAGTATGCCATTTCCCTCTGAAATGTAGTGCTGTATAAGTATGAGGTAGCAAAAAATGAAAACATTCAAGTACAATACAAGCACCATTTATACTTGAGCAAAAGTACTCAGTTACTTTCCTCTACCCATTGATTTGGTTTTGTTATTTCATTCGGGCCTTTGTTAAATAGTTTGACATTAAACTCCTCAGACTCCTGACACCAAAACTGAAAATACCGACTTTGATTGAAGAGGAGAAGTGAGTTTGGAACAACACCTCTAATGTAGCTCTCACTCAGTGTGTAATTAACCTCAAGCTGGATTTTTGGACAGAAAACTGCCTTTGAATTTAGAGGAAAAAGTGTGTTGCTATAAGAAGTGCTTTAATGTTTATGATTGTACCTCACAGATTCAATTGTTTTACACGGGTAGGGGGGGATGTGGCAGCTTGGCTTGTTTCCTGGACTGAATGTATCGATTGAAGCTCCATTATTGAATTAGTCTTTTGCCCTGTTTTTATGTGAGCACAAACAAAGGCTAAAAGACCAAAGAGGGAAAGACTAAGATTAAGAGTTTGATCTATTGTTCTCAGTAAAAATGATTGCCATTAAAATAAATGCCAGGTCTCGCTGTGAGTAATTCTAAGCGTAATTTGAAATATTAAGCTGTAAACTTCAGGTGACATTTCCCATGAGAATGCATACAGCACCTCAGAATGAAAATCAATGGCCTCCATTTACCATCTCATTTGCATGATTAAGTTTCTCCCTGAATTCAAAGGCAAGATTAGTCAAACAATTAACTGCTGAATTATCAATTATAGGCAGGAAGATTGGTGGCAGTGGGCTGATATCATGCTTTGCTTGGTCATCGGTTAAACACTGAGCTGTTTGAAATAGGGTGGAAAACATCCTTTGGCATGTTGTGTTTTAACAGCATCCTCCATGTTGGGGTACTTTGGTCTTCCAAACTTTAAAAAAAAAGGCCCCAACAACATTGTTAATTATCACTTTACTTTGCAAAGAGGTCTGTCACGTCTCCTGTGAATCCCCAAACGACAGCCGCCTACAGTAAAGAGACAAGCTCATGCAAGTCCATGCAAGCCTGCAGAGGTTTCCTCTAACCTCCTTACACTAATGACCTGTCACCGCTGTATACGTGTGTTTACTTTTTATATCTTTTGTCCAACTCAGCTTGAAAGATTCAGCCTGATAACTTGATGCATTTTTCTTTAAAAAAATAAATAAATTTAGGGTACCTGTTGACTCTGAGTTATTTTGAGCCACTCATATAACAAGACACACTGTGTGATGAAATACTCAGAAAGGTCCCAAAATCTAGAAATGCACCCTTGTCACAGGTTGCGTTTCTAGATTTTGGGACCTTTCTTAGTGTATGACATGTCAAAGTAGGAAAAGCACACGTATAAATAACCTAATTTCGAATTGGAATTTTGCTATTTTACTATAATTTGTTTTATTGTGTTATATTAATTATGGGGTCTTCTTGTCCATCCATCCATTATCTATACGTCGCTTCATCCTCACTTGGGTCACGGGGGTGAAGGCAGGAGACACCCTGGACAGGTCGCCAGTCTATCACAGGGCTAGACAAACAGACAGACCACACTCACATTCACACCTACAGACAATTTAGAATCACCAATTAACCTCAACATGTTTTTGGACTGTGTGGGAGGAAGCCGGAGAACCCGGAAAGAACCCACGCTGCACGGGGAGAACATGCAAACTCCACAGAAAGCTCCCAGGCGTCCTAACTGGGACGCGAACCGGGGATCTTCGAGCTGCGAGGTGATGGTGCTAACCAGCGTGCAGCCCTGGGCCTTCTTGTGACCAATATGTTTTGACCAGGGAGTTAGAAAGACCAAAGATCTTGAATGTTAGATACTGTATGTTCAATAACTTTCATAAGACTGGACAGTATTTGTAGCATGTCTCCATGCTGTAGATGTGGATAGCATTGTATAAACTAAGGTTATTTGGGATTTAGGAATCATCCTGGAACTTACTTTTAATGCAGTTCTGTCTATCTTTGACCTTGAAAACAGCTGTTGGCAGAACAATTCCACTTCAATGTCAGTTTAGTAGCTGTCTCGTGGTTGTTATAAATGCTTATTTCAAAAGGACAAACAGAAGGATCTTGTTCTATACATTACTTAATCTATAATCTTCTGTTTTAGCAATTTAAAGTGTATTGTAATGTCACTGGAGTAAATCTAGATCATTTACATAATTTGTATAAACCCAAGGCGACTTTGAAAATGTAGATAAACTTATTGGCCTCCTAATTACTGCTGCATTCTGGGTTTAATTTACTTCCATTGGCGTTTAACACCTTAAGGCGGCACTGACAGTTTTTTTCTTTTTTTTTTTGGCGAATACTTTCTTAAACAATGTATGAAAGACACATACCTTTACCTTTTTATTCCCTTCTGTTGCTGGTTTTGGTGATCACACATTTATTAATTTTTTTGCATTCACTAGTGCTTTATTTTTTGCTGCCGTTTGCTCTTTGGGACAAATAATCATCAGTAAAGTGTCTCTAAACACACACTTGTATGAGAAACGAGAATAACAAAATGCATTTTGCTAAAGTTTATTATACAAAGTTTATTTAGATGTATCATTTGTTGCTAATAATCCTCATTATAAACAGAAAAGAGGATGATGTTTTTTGATGTTAATTTAACACAGCCACACAGTTTAATCAGCTTAACTCACTTAAATCGTGTGTCTTTCAATTTTGCACGGTACTGTCATTAGAGAGGTTTTCACTCAGACTCTCTCTCTGTCTGCACTCTCCTTGAACAGGCAGTTATGTCGTCATTTCAGCAGCCAGCATATCAACGCTCCAGTGCGGCACAGTCATGGATTGTGAACACCAGTTCCTATAAAAAAACAAACAAACAAAGAGACACCAATAGACATTTCTAAAAGTGTGACCGTACACCTTTTTAGTTGTAGCCTTCTGTACATTAAACACAAATGACCCTGTGTGATGTATGTGCACAACAAAAGGTCAATCTCATGACACATGTCCACTCACACTCCATTTAGTGTATTTCCACTCTATAATCGACCTTAATTACTGTCAATCACACCCACTTACTTAAATGAGCATAATGAAAGTGAATTAACGCTAACCCCTGGCTGACACATCATGGTCTGGCCTGCACAGAGGGGTCACGCCAGTCTGTTACGGGACACTAATCGCAGACCCAGATGTGTCGGACTTCACAGATCAGGTAAGCAGGATCAAACCTCTGCAGAGCATGGAATGTTTCATATAATCTGCATCATAAACCTTGTTTAATCCTGCAAAATCACCCACTGAGTGACCCATTAAACGGCGGTCAGGTTGAATGCATCCCATCAGTGTTAAAGTCTGGTTTCCCTTTTTTGTGTGTGTTTCGTGTCAGGCTGCAGTAACTAAGAGTTTGGGTCAATAGACACAGATATATTCTCAGTCATAGAAGATTTAACATGAATTATTTTTAGTTCAGCTGATCTTAAGACACTTTCCCATGCACAAATGCCCTGCACTTCACTGTAAACCACACCGGATGGTACGGCACTCCCTCATGTATCTTTACGCTACAATTTCCGTGTATTTCTTCTCACCCCGTGACATTTCTGCGACATGAAGATGAAAAGCTGCCTCAGGGTGGCACCCAGCTTCCTCACTTCACTGGTGTAAGCACAGCGGCGCTGTCGCAGGCCTTCCACCAAGGAGATGTAGGTCCTCATTTTGTACATCACACAGGAATTCTGTCAGAAGTAACAATTAGTGTCCCTGCGCGTGATTTACAGCCACTGAGGTTTGCCTTCAAAACACCACAGACGTTAGTGTAGAAAATTCTGGAGATGACAGATTACTCAAAACAGAGGTAAACACTGATTCAAAGCAGAGCTGAGAACACATTTTCTTTTGATAATGACTGAGTTTAATCACAGCATGAACACCATCTTAAATTTTAGCTGTAATAATCTTTCATATATGTAAATTTGGTTTACAATGAACAGGTCACTGAAGAATTTGAAGTCATACTTACATGGACATCAAGGTAGAGATCTGGCATATGTGCCATGCAGTAGCTCTGGATGAAAACAAAAATAGCAACGAAGAAATTTTGCAATTGTGAAGGCGGGATAATCTGTCTGATATATGTCCACATGTAGCCTGATAAGCTTTGATCAGATGTGATTAAACTAATTTTACCAGCTATATCAAATAATGACATCATTGCAATGTAACTTACAGTACCCACACAAGAACAGACAACCAGAATAACCTCAAAAGACAATTATAAAATGAGCGTAAAATCAACTTCAATTCAAGCAAAAAAATCCAGCAGCTCACTTACTGTTTCATAGTCCCTCTTCAAATCTGCTGCCAACTGGGTGAGCTCTCGCGCCATGCTCAGCACCTTGGAGTAGCATGTTGGTGGGAAGAAAGGGGAATTCAGCACCAGCGGCACCAGAGACAAAATAAGCAACAGGTGGTTGAAGATCCTCATGATTCACTGACACCTTCTGCACTAAGAGAGCCTTTGTTTGTTTGTGCGTCCGATGCACACACACATGCGGCCACGTATGCATGCGGACAGCTTTTAACACACCCTTTGTTTACTCCAAAATAATTACGCAGCATGACAGGGGACGATCCTGTGTGTGAGATAAGACAGGACTTATTTTTGGCCTCAGGGCAGCTCAGGAAGACAGGCAAATAGACGAAATCAGATTTGCAGCAGTGGAAGAAGTATTTGATTGTTGAAGAACAATGTCACACTGAAGATCTTCTCTGCTGCTTTTAAAATGAAAACAAATCAAGTAAAAAGTGCCAAAAGTGAAAGTGCTTGTTAAGCACCATGGTCCATTTTAGAGCAAAGTGTATGATATTAGGGAATTAGAATTACTGATGTATTAATGGGTCACTTTAAAGTTGCAGCTGGCAAAGGGGGGAGCCAATTTCAATTACTTTAGTCCCTGCTGGGCAGCTTGTGAATTGCCCTCTGGGGAGCAATACTCCTAACTTATCTTGTCTCATCTTAACCTTTATTAATACATCTTTTTTTTTATGGCTACGATTACTTCTACTATTTATTACTATTACTTCCAACCACAGAAAAGACGACAACGACATCAGTTTACTCCAACAGCCTGCACAATCTCAAGATCCCAAGTCAATATGCAGCATATTTTTACCTTAATTAAGCCTTTTTGCATTTGGGAGAAGGTTGATGTTTAACAGGTGATACTGGAAAACAGATCGTTAAAGTGAAATATGCTGTAAATTCTACTCCCAGAAGACCCAAACTGTAAAAACACTAACTTCCATTATGCTGTGATCTGTTTTTTATCCACTAGATGGGGATGAATTCACAGACTTCTGGTGTCTGCGTCGCCATCAGTGCAGTTTCTTGGATCGTTCTGGGGAAGTTCTGCAAAAAGTGATTGCTCATTAATCAAAATTAGATTTTAATATAAAATAGGACCCACTTTCTTCATAGAGAAGAAAACAACAATGTAAAAAAACCCACAAAAACTGGGACAACACTGGTACATGCTGTGGCCTCCTGCATGTTAAGTGGCTTTACTTTGTCTCCGTCCAGGTGTGACATGACACCATCATCACTCACTGCATCTTAGAGAAGCACCCACTTCCTGATGCTGCCAAATGCCCAAAAAGGGATTGGCCTAGTTTTGAGCAATGCTCGTCACCTTTACTGGGTTGAGATCTTCTCCACATAAAGATGGATGGGCCACACTGGGTGAGTCTTGGCATGAAGGAATAAAGAGCAAGAAAAAGTGTAGCCTGCATTGTAAGCATATCTTTCATCCCCGAGTCCCACCACTCAGCTGTTCTCCCCTCGACCTTGGCCTGCTCAATTAACAGGGGACGCAGGTGAGTGTGCAGTCCCTGTAATGGATGGCTGTGTTCTACACTTAGAGTTCATGGCTCCAGAAGTTAATGCATAATGACAGATTGGACTGAACGAAAGAATTACACCCAAAAGGCACCAAATTCCAAGTGCATGTTCCATGTATAAAGACATTTATATGAATTATAGAGGCAACGACACACAAGGCACTTCCTTTTTTCATTTTATATGTTAGTTGCCAAGGGAACAACTGCTCTCCTTCATCTTTGTTGTGCTTCACATTCAAGTAGTTTGCCAGTGAAACCGTGATTCGGCACTTGAAGCCAATGAGCAGCTCCTCTCTTTGAATGGTTTCGGGATTAAGTGCCTTGCTCAAAAGGAAAGCCAGCAGTGACAGCAGTTGTTGAGGTAAGCGAGGAAGGCATGAGTCATATTCATGCTTTCAAACCAAATTAAGGACGGCGGCTGCTATGAAAGTTTATCATCATGTACGTGGGTAATCATATTTCAGGATTTACTGCATTATTTCACTTTATAGAAAATGGAAAATCATTATGAAATGACCCACACACACACAAACACACAGTGTCTCTGCTCACAAGCTGATCTGCATTTCACCATTCAAGAAATTATATTGATATCTAGGGAGACGAAATGCTATAAAGCACAATAAGGTCTCAATTGTGCACTAGAGAGATTAGTGTCTATTTCTCTCTCTGTATAATTACTATTTCCATATAACTTTAAAGGCTATTAGGAGGCAGCAGGCTCAGCTGGTCTATAAAGAGACTGTCTTCCACTTGGGGCCACAAACTGCCTTCCAGAAGAGCCTATAAGAAAGATGACCTATAGGGGGCGCTGCTCTAAAGCTGACCATGACCTCTGACTCCATGGAGGCAACTGGAGAATAAATAAGTCCCCGCTGACATCAATAAAGTAGAATAATGTGAGTTTTAAGGTGATCGTGTTGAGGAAAATATCAGCATAGGGTCAATATGTTAAAAAAAATCCAGGTGTGAGAAAAGGGAACTGATGTGAGGATCTCATAATGAAAGCGCTGTGAGTTGGCATTGAACTTTTGATTGCACCATTTCTAGAAATAAATAAATAAATAAATAAAAACGTAATGGCCGTTAAGCACTGCTGTGGAAATGCATTGGATGAACGTTCTTGTATGAAAGCCAGAGATTGGGGGAAACCTCAGCCCCCCCATCAGCAGCCTGAGAGACGTGCCTCTCCAGACGCACGGCGGTGCTGCTGCCAGGAGTCCAGCTCATTACACAGGCGGCGATGTGGAGGTCAGTCGCTCATCGGTGCCGAGCGGTTTCCCCTCTCATCCTGCCTTTTCTGGCTCGCCTTTGTCCTCCTGCACGGGATTCACACTCCGTCCAGCGCATCCTTTGAGTCACGTCTCGCAGCGTGGTTCCCATTCTGTCCGGGTGGCAGGTGTCCCGGCGCGTCGTCGTCCCGAACCACCGGGACAAGTGATGCTTTGAGCTGCACTGTTGCTCCACTGTCGCCTCTCTGCAGCAAAAGAAAAAAAAAAAAAAGAAAAGAAAAAAAAAATTTGGCTGGAAATGGTCCGGTGTTCAACTAACAGATCGGAGGTAAGGTGCTCCACAGCTGCAGGTTCCGTACTTTCTATTCAGCGCATGTTCTCATCCGCTTTTTTTTTTTTTTTTCTGATCAGATAAGGGCTCCGAGCACAATGTCCTCTGCGGGGAAGCTCAGCACTGCGGCTTCCCGCACTAGTTTTTGAATATTTCATTTACCCCAAAAGGGATATTCAGATGTGCTGTGGTGACCTTATCATCATGCAGGGCTGGGAATGACATTCATTAGCGGGGGTTTTCCTCCAGCGGGCTGGATGTTGTCTGTTTACCTGTTTAACCCACTGATGCATGTTCAGTCACTCCTCATAGATGTTCCTTCTAGACAAGCTCACTTCAAAAGGGATGCTGTAGGAAACTAGTTAAGCTGTGACATGAACACTGATGTGATTTTACAGGACATTTAGTGACTTATTTTCCTCATATAAAACCCCCACATGCATGCATACGCAGGAGTTTTTGTCCAGCAGTGGAATAAAAACTCTCACAAGAGGGCAGCCTGAGGGATTCCATTTAGAGTACACACAACAGCGTCAAACTATAAATCAAAAGCTTCCAATTTTGCACCCTTAATGGGGAAAAAAAAAGGATCATTCGTCACACATGCTCTGCGGACAGAGCTCCTGTGGGATTTAAATGTAAAAAAATGTAAAAAATCTATAAATGACAGATGAAGGAAAGGACTCTGTATAAAGTACAGATTTCCACTTCTGATTTCTGTCACTGCTGTTCTGCTGCTATTACAGTTTATTTCCTCTGAGTATCTTAAAATCTGTCTGCGCGAGTCTCAGAAGCTCTACTTTTTCTTTCCCTCCCTGTTTCCCTCTGTCCCTCCTTCCCTCTCCCTGCTGGCGGTGTCATGTTTTCCTGCCTCCCTCTCGCAGGTTAGACTCTCACTCAACAGAGGGTCGCAGCCACAGACGCATCAGCCTCCCTCCTCCTGGCTGCCAAGAGTCGCCCGTCTGCCTGCATTCGTCTGAGCAGCAGTGAAGACAGACAGAAAGCATAGTGATTGTGCAGCCTGTGTGTGTGTTTGTGTGTGTGTGTGTGTGTCTTTAGTGTTCCCCCCCCTCCTCCCCTCCAGCCATTCACTCTGAATGTGTGCAGTGATGTGTGCTTGTGCCAAGGTGCAGAGTTAAGCGGAAGACGGGACCTTTTCAAGTCAGCAAAACGGATCTGAGCACGTGAGATTGTGCGTTTGTGTGTGTGTGTGTTTGTGAGTGTGTGCATTTGAGGGCTAGTTGTTGACCAGCGGGCTATGAGTGCGTCTCAGAGGGAGAGCCGTTCGATTGCTGAGTTGAGTTGAGCAGAACAGAGGGGGAAAAAAAATCTAAGAGGAGCAGCCATGGGGCTCGGACAGTCCAGCAAGGCTCCGGTCACTGATGACACGGATGAGGGTGAGTTTTAAAACCTCCATCATTCTTGGCTTTGTCTTTGTTTGGTTTCTCTACTTTTGTGACTCAAATGTAGCGAGACACAAAACCTGAAATGACATAGATTGTGAGCAGGATTAATATTAATAAGATATTTCTCTTACCGGACAAGTTTAAGAGCATTTACAGCTACTAGTTAGATTGAAGTGATGCTGTTCAGGTTTGCAACTGGTCTTCCTCAGCAGTGGAAAAGAGTCAAACTGTTGGACTTTGCCTTTTATATGACTGCAGGGTTGTACATTTTCACGAAGCTACATATAGTTAAGAGCTTAGAAAGTTGATTTCTGAACCTCAAAGTCATTCATCAAAATTCCTCTCTACCCATTCTTTAATTCTGGTGTCGAATTCTTCACATTTATGATTATCGATTGGCCGAGCTTTGCCAGAATATTTTACTATGACATCTTGCAGACTGATGCTATCAAGGTCAGCATCAAAAGGAGTCATTACTATGATTGACAAAGCACTTGGTTTAAATTTTCCTATTCTTTGCCTCCAGAGTGGATAATACATTGTAATTTTATTGATCTGAGTCAGTCTTTGAAATTAATTCCACTCTGGCTACACCCCAAGGACTTCAAGTAAGTCACAT